TTTTGCAAAAGAACAACTTGCTTTAAGAAAAAAAGAACTTGCCTAGGACAAAGACTGCTCTCTCCCCAGAAGCAGGTCAGAGAACTAAAGCCATTTAATGTTTGTGTTTCACATGGTGATACTGGAAGTTGGCCTGCAACGTTCGGTCAGGCTACTTAATAGCCTAAGCAGAGTAGTCTTCAGATTTCACACCGACTGCCTTCATATTCATAGGAGTTTCTTTAATAATTCTATTATCTCCCAACAGTCTCTTGCCTAAATATCTTGATCAGAGAGAAAGACCAAAAAAGATACCACTCAAACCTTAAACAAGAGTCTTAAAATGGGCTGCAGCTTCGGTTGTAGCCCAATGGTAGAGAGCTTGTCTGGCAGAGGCATTAGGTTTGATCCTCAGAACCACATAGAACTAAATAAATAAACAAAATGAAGGTAGTATGTCCATTTACAATAAAAAAAAAGTCTTAAAATTTCCTTTCAGTACAAGCCTTTATTGTTAACAAATACTTATTGAACACCAAATTTTTATATGTGAACTGAGTGCATGCTAGTAAATAAAGTATATAAGACCTATTCCTTAATACTTTCTCAGGAATTATAGCAATTCCCTCACTTCAGCTAGGAGTTCTTACAAGTTTTAGTTCCTAAAACTTCCCAACGCATTTGAAGAGGGGGGGAAAAAGGCCAATTAAGAAAAACTTATAGAAAATAGCCTAAAGCACAATACTTCTTAGAACAGTTTTATTTATTTATTTATTTGTTGCAGTACTGGGAACTGAAACCAGAGGCAGTCTACCACTGAGCCACATCTCAGCCCTTTTTATTTTCAGACAAGGTCTCACTAAGTTGCTTAGTTACTTTTGAAATTAAAAAAAAAAAAAAGACCCTGGGAATTATATACATCCAGGGTCTTGTGCATGCTCATCACTGAACTATACCTCTAGTCCTGAACTTGACTTTTATTTATTTGTGGTGCTGGATTTCAAACCCAGGGTCTTGCACATACTAGGCAAGTTCTCTAATATTGAACTACAGCTGTGCCTACTGATTTTTTAAAAAAAATATTTTTTGATTGTCAATGGACCTTTATTTTATTTATTTATATGCAGTGCTGAGAATCACATGCTAAGAGCTCTACCACTGAGCCAACCCCCCTGCCTATTAATTTTTAAAACAATTGCTAAAAAAAAAAAAAAAAAAACACCCAAATTCTCAAGTTTCCTACAATACAGCTAATAAAGCAAGTTGCAAACAAAAAAGCCTGTATGTAGTTTCAGTGGCCTAACAGTGTGGTCCTAGCACCACCACACATCATCAGCCAACTAATGATGCATGAAAACATACAAATTCTGGATCTCATCCTACCTCTGCTGAATCATAATCTGTAGGTAGGATCAAGGAATCTACATTTGAACAAGTATAATAATCGTATCCCTGATTATGATGCCCACTGTAAATTTACAGACCCCTGAAAATGGCACTATGTTAAAAGAATACAGGGACCTAAGGACTTTGGGCAGGTGACATAAGAATTAAAAGACAGATGCTAAGAAAGATCTAGTTGGATACAGTGCCACATGCCTATAATCCCTGCAGCTTGGCAGGCTGAGGCAGGAAGATCGCTAGTTAAAAACCAGCCTCAGCAATGGCAAGGCACTAAGCAACTCAGTGAGACCCTGTCTCTAAATAAAATACAAAACAGGGCTGGGGATGTGGCTCAGTGCCCATTACCAAAAACAAAAAAAAGAAAGAAAAGATCTATTGCTAAGTTGTCTCACTACCGTTTTATATTTCACATCCTACTTAGTTATTATCACTGACCTCATTGCCTCCCCATGCTCAGGCATTCATTCACCTGTTAACAATCTGAAGACCACTAGGAAGAATACATGCACTCATTCCATCACAAGCACTGCATAAGGATTTCCCACTCCATCTTTGGTCCTTCTAGTAAGCATCAAGGAATCAACATTACTTTGATTGGATTTTCTCAAAGCTCCAAACATCCCTGTTTGGAGGAGCAATTCTCGGTGGTATAAAAATAACTTTCTTCAGTTAGGGCTAATTAAGCATGTTGACTTCAAGAATCCAGAAGTGAATTGGTGACCCTACTCCAATTCTCAGACCAAATCCAAATCCAGATCACCTATGAAAAGATGTGCATGTCTGTGCGTGCATGCATGCGTGCTGGGGATTGAACCCAGGGCCTGGGTCATGATATGAAAAAAGGGTTGGGGATATGGCTCAGTGTTAAATGTCCTTGGGTTACATTCTCGGCATTAAATAGAAAATAACCTAAAGCACAATAATGCTTAGAATAGTTACTCAAATAATGAATACATAAATAAATTACCTGAAAATGGATAGGAGGATGGTACAATGGAACAATGACTTCTAAGGTTAAAAAAAACTCTTATAAAAAAAGTGAAACTACATCTGACCTTGACAAAGTAATAGAGATTAGTTCTGGGTTAGAATTATTTTGTTTCCTTTATAAAACCTACCTTAATATCAAAAGTAAAATCTATTACCAACAACAACAACAACAACCAATTAAGCTACAGGTTAACCTAGAAAGCTCAGGCAGATGAGAGCAATACTGAAAGGTTTCTTGATATCCTGGTCATATAGCTTTGTTCTCAGGAAATTCCACTTCTGAGAAGTTTGATGGGTTTTGCAAGTTTTGTTTTGTTGCTTTTTTTTTTTTTCCCCTTGACAGTACTAGGGATTGCACTTAGGGTCCATCTACCACTGGGTTATTATATTCCCAGCCCTTTAAATTTTCTTTCTTTTTTAAAAAATTTTGAGACAGGGTCTCATTAAGTTACCCAGCCTAGACTTGAACTTGCAATTGTCCTATCTCAGACTTCCAAATCATTGGGATTATAAGCAAGCACCACTGTGCCAGATGGGCTTTGCTGGTTTCAAGGGTCAAAGTTTTCAAATGGACTTTCAATATATAGGTTTCTAGAATCTTCAGGTCCATCTCTCTCTCTCTCTCTTTTTTTTTTTTTTTTTGGTTCTAAGGATTTAACCCAGGGCCTTGAGCATGCAAGGCAAGCAGTCTACAAACTGAGCTATTTCCCCTGCCTTCCAAGTCCACTTCTAACGTGAAAGTAAAGAAAATAATGATAACACAATTATGTAGACTTATCATTCCCAAAGTATTCTGAGGCTCCCTAGGGGCTTGTAAGACATGATAAATTCAAAAGGTAAATCCAAAAGATTTTTTTCAAATTCACTGTAAGGTCAGACTATCTGGTCAAACACTAGGTTAGCAGCTTTGGAATAAGCTAATTATAGTGTCCCCTATTCTGCCAAAACACTATCTAGAACTTTCTTCATTTCCCAAGAGGCTTCCTTACCCTATTCCCTAGTAGCAGGAGAGACAAGAGCCAAGTAAGACAAATATCAGTCTCTACCTTGCTGCTGGGTTTGGAAGAACCAAGATAAATCCTATAGGTTGCACTTTATCTCTGCTAACCATGGAGGATATATAGAGCAAGCCAAAAACCATTCTAAACCTTTCCTTTCCTTCAAGTGCTGACAGCTTCAAACTGCAGAAAATATAATTTCTTTGCAGAAGAAGTCAAGGTCACTTGTGGGACTGTCCCTCCTTGGATTAGAGGACTGAGACTCTTTTAACAGCAGTTTCTCTGCTTAAGGGGCCAAGTTATCTAGAGCCAAAATTATTGGCAGTTTGAAATCGGGGGTATCATTATCTGGAAAAGCATTTCTAAGATTCAAAAAAGCAATAAATATCTGTAAAGGGCCCCAAAGAATAAGAGGAAGTTTCCCAGGGTAAAGAAGACTTAAGATCCTTAACAAAACCAGGGCTAGCAAGTAGTAGGGCTGGTCATGTGACCTTGGCTTTACTACCTCATACCGAGTATCTGCATTTATTGGCTTGTAGTTTAGTGGAACCACCTTTCTGGTTCTTTCTCCAATCATACCTGTTAAGTAGGAGTTTTACAAAAATTCTTCACCCCGCCCAAGCTAAGTGCAAGAGTTCCAAGGACAAAGAGGAGCTGGAGTACCACACCTCTAGCACAAACTGCTACGATGTATTTATTAAAGTCTTCAATAACTGTGTTGAAGAAATAGAAACAGGCAGCTGGGGAACTGACAAGGCCCTCCCTATAAATCAGAGCCAAAATTAGCCTCCGCTCCAGCTCTGGGACAGAGTGAGCACATCTGCTCACCCCCACCCCCTCCTCCAAACAATTCTTTCCATAACTCTAGTGAAACGCCACACCTCTATCCTCTATTGGCGGCTCTAGTCTTGGATCCTTCTTCATTCAGGGTCACACAAACCCACTTAGACATGTAGGAGGCCAGTAAGGTCGGGGTTCTGCACCCGCCCCAGATTGCAGGCCGGCACCGACAGCATTCGCCTCACCCTAAGGAGCCGGAAGGGCAGCGTAGCACATGGCCTCGGGAGCTCTAGGGAGGGCTGGCGACAAGCCAAAAGCAGGGCTCCTTTAAGACGCGCAGGGGTGCGCGCGGGTGTGGGAGGGAGGGAAGACCCCAGCTACTGAGGGCCTGCGGTCGCCTCAGCCCCACCCCAGAACGGCGCGCTCTCTTCCCTAGTTGCTCACCTTGGCTCCCAAGAGCCGTGCGGCCGCAGTGAGTAAAGCCATGGCAGGCAACTCTAGGATCTGATGGGGAGGGAAAGAGGGGAGAGAGATGCGGCAGAAACGGGAGCCGCCGCCGCTGCACCAGAGGCCGTGCCAACGGGTAGACAAGGTTGAAAGGAGGCGGCTGAGGGAAAGGGTAGACGAACCGGCAGCGGCGCCCAGCTCGGGGTCCTCGGCGAGGCCCCGCCTCCTGCCCGGAACCCGATCCGCCCATCTCAGGGAATTTACCCCGAGGTGCTTCATTGGTCCGGCATGGTGGAGGGGCGGGACCTGATTCATTGACAGCTATTGTGGCGGGGAGGATTGGACCGCGCGGATTAGGCTAATTAAGGGTGATTTGCGGAGGGGGACGGGGGGGGGGTTGTAGGTGGCTAAAGTTGTGCCTGAGAACTCAGTTAACTTCCTTTGGCTTTTCCTTTGCCCTTAACACATTTGGGGTTAGTTCTCCAGAGAATACTAATGACAAATATCCAGGACTTGACCTTTGAAGATCTTCGGCATCCAACTCCTTAATATACTATCATAACAACTGATCATTGCCGGCTCATCCTACCCCCTTGTTCTTGAAGAATGTGTTTGGTTAATGACTTATTTCATGGCCATGGAGGTGACATCACGTGGAAAACCAGCTATGATGCCAGAGTTAACTACTTGGTGGAGAGCATTTGAGGTCAGCAGAGGCAATGGTATGATAGATGCTCTTGCCCCAATAATAGGGAGAAGAAGAACAAAATTTTGAAGCTGAATGTCTAGTGTCCTTTATGAGCTGTCAAGGGTGCATCTAATGCCAGGAAACCCAAGGCATAAAAATACCCCCCCACCATGGGGGCCAGAGATATAGCTCAGTTGGTAGAGTGCTTGCCTTGCATGCATAAGGCTCTGGGTTCTAATCCCCAAATCCACCAAAAAAAAAAAAAAAAAAAAAAAAAATGTGAGGCACTGGGTTTGCTCCTCAGCACCACATAAAAATAAATAAAGGCACTGTGTCCGTCCACATCTAAAAAAAATATTTAAAAAAAACCCACCCCTTTATTATGAAGGCATCCAGTGCCTCTGAGTTCTAGACATTAGTCTCACTACCACACCAATCACATAGCACTGTACAGCCAGCCCACATTGAGCAATAAAATCAGAAGCTGCAGACCAACCTTTATCCAGGATGGCATTAGGCACCCTCGGTTTTTGTCACACCACTCACATTATTCCCATAGGACTTCTGGGCCATTTAGCCTATTTGGCTATCTTCTATACTCTTATCTTGTGCTCCCCTAGCGACCTATGGCATTAAATGACCAATTAAATGGCTCTGAAGTGATCTTCCACACCACTTTTTTTTTTTTTTAATTCTTGTAAGTAGAACAAGACTTCAAGACTTTTGTACTTTCCTTAAGCCTGCACTGTCATTGGTTCAAGGACAGAGAGGACCTGACCCAGGATCAGGACATCTTATCTACAAACCCCAAGCCTTAAGTGAATAGTCCTTTTATCTTCCCACATAGCAATAACAAGGTTCAGAGGTCTCACTATCCATCTAAACCAGGTTTAGATAGACCTCATTTATAAAGAACTTATTAGAATCTAGTTTATAGCCTGGACTTGGAAAAAGAAAATCCCTATTTTCTCACCCTAATTTTTTTCATAGCCAGCTTCACACCTATCAATGCTCCTCTAACTTCGAGATTTAATAGGTAGTTCTTAGGAAAGAACTTTATAAACAAGCCACACAATGCTTCAGAGGAGCACTGACCTCAGGTACCTCACCAGTAACTTCAAAGCTCCATTGATCAATATTTGCTCCCAATTTAGCATCTCACAGAGATTTCCTCCTAACCCTAGAGTAGTCTAACCTGGCTCCTTCCCTCTGGTTAATTATTCACAGTGACTAGCCAGCAGATCAGAGGACTGAACTCCAGTGCCCCAGGAGATAGTAACCATTCTCAGGGTGAGGTACCAAAAGGACAATTATTAGGTGGCCTCAAGGATAACCCATTTTGGAGTTTTAATATTTAAAGCAAGTGTCAGGAACAGCAATGTTCTGAGTCTCTTGACATAGGGTCCAGGAGCCCAGCATCAAGAGGATTTTATAGGGTTAGGGTTGTGGCTCAGTGGCAGAGTGCTTGCCTCGCACATGTGAGGCACTGAATTCCATCCTTAGCACCACATAAAAATAAATAAACAAAATAAAGATATTGTGTCCATGTATAACTAAAATTCTTTTTTTTTTTTTAAAAAGAGGATTTTATAGACTTGTTTTGAAGTTGTCCAATCGTGATATCCAGTGCTATAAGACCAGTGGGAAAGCCCAGGGATCAAAAGGGCAAAATGGGATCTCCCAGAAGCTGGTTTAGTCTGTCTCTCTCTCTTTCTCTCTCTCTCTCTCTCTCTCTCTCTCTCTATATATATATATATATATATATATATATATATATATTAATTTTTTATTTTTGTAGTTGTAGATGGACAGAATGCCCTTAATTTACTTTTTTTAAATTTTTATATGGTGCTGAGGATTGAACCTAGTGCCCCATGCATGCTAGGCAAGCACTCTGCCACTGAGCTACAGTCCCAGCCCTTATTTTTTTCTTATGCTAGGGATTGAATCCAGGCCTCCCAGACCCGCCCTGCACCCTGCACCCATATGCTAGGAAAGCACTCTAAGCTATATAAACCTCCAGATCTGGAGTCTCTTTTTTTTTTTTCAATTTTTTTTTAGAAATTTTTAATTTTTATAGGGTTTTACTTGTTATAGGACCTTTATTTTATTCATTTATTTTTATGTAGTGCTGAGAATTGAACCCAGTGCCTCATACATGCTAGGCAAGTGCTCTACCACTGAGTGACAACCCCAGCCCTAGAGTCCCTTTCTGAACATACATGGGACCTGGGGAAGTGGAAAGTTAAGAGAAGTTTGGTTTGAATAAAGCAGCCAAGTGACCTCTAGGTTCAAATGTAATTAATCAAGTGCCTGAGAACTAGAGGAGGCAATGTAGAAGGCTGATTGAGAACATTATGACCTTGGAGGGTCTCTTTAAAATGGAGTGGCAGTGGTTCCCCCTGGTGGCCAAACACAAGTGGGAGAATGCAGCCTAAATAGAACCTATTTATTTATTTGGTAGTGGAGATTGAATCCACAGGCACTTTTACTACAGCAACATCCCCAGTCCTTTAAATTTTTTTGGACAGGGTCTCACTAAGTTGCTTAGGGTTTCAGTAAGTTGCTGAGGCTGGCCTTGAACTAGGAATTCTCCTACATTATCCTCCCTAGTCACTGGGAGTACAGGTATATACCACCATACCTGGCAATATAACCCGTTTAAATAACTGCATACCATGGGTAAACCAAACTTTTGTATTTAATAGATAACAGCTAACATGTACTGAGTAGTCATTATTTCTGGTTATTATGTAAATATGGTACATGCCAGCTACTTGGGAAGCCAAGGCAAGAGACAAGTGCAAGGCCAGCCTGGACAAGTTAGCCAGACCCTGTTTTAAAAAAAAAAAAAAAAGGCTGAAAGGACTAGAAATGTAGCTCCATGGTAGTGTGCTCCTGGATTCAATTCCCAGTACAGAAAGGAAGGAAGGAAAAAATAATCTATTAATTAATCTGCACAACTCTAATATATGTAGGTAATAGCATCTCTAAAGAGAAGGAAGTCCAGGCATAGATGAAGGATCCCACTCAGGATCATAGCTTGTAATTAGCATAGCTAGAATTCAGACTGAGGTCAGCCTTATTCTAGAACCTGTATCTTTACCAAATCATCAGCTTCAAGTTACCAAGGGGAGTTGTGTGTGTGTGTGTGTGTGTGTGTGTGTTTCTCTCTTGCGTGCTCTCTCTCTCTCATAAATTAGTAGAAAGGTGTGTTACCATTGAGCCATATGTACAGTCCTTTTTTTGTTGTTTTGTTTTTTAGGTGTAGATGGACACAACACAATGCCTTTATTTTATGAAGTGCTGAGGATCGAACCCGGGTCCCGCCTGTGCTAGGCAAGCCCTTACCGCTGAGCAACAATCCCAACTGTACAGTCCTTTTTATTTTTTATTTTGAAACAAGGTCTTTTTCTTAAACATGCTTTTATATATATATTTATTTTTTAATTATAGGTGGGTGCAATATCTTTATTTTTATGTGGTGCTGAGGATTGAACCCAGTGCCTCACACATGCTAGGCGAGCATTCTACCTCTGAGCCACAACCCCAGCCCTTGAAACAGGGTCTTGATAAGTTGCTGAGGGTCTTACTAAGTTGCCCAGACTGGCCTTGATTGCAGTCCTCCTGCCTCAGCCTCCCCATTTGCTGCAATTACAGGTGTACGCCACCACACCAAGCTCAGGGGATTTTTTCCCCCCAGTGCTGGAAATTGTACCCAGGGCCTCAGACATACTAGACAAGTGTACTACCACTGACCCACATCTCCAGCCCCAAGGGGATTTTTAAGTAATTATACACTGTCTCCTAGAGTCAGTACATTACTACAAAGATATTTATAAAGATAAGGAACTATACAGTCTTACTCATCTTAAAACCTTTGTACTTTCATAACTGAAATACATGATAAATTGTGACCCCTACCACCACCAGACAACCAGGCATGATGGGACACGCCTGTAATCCCAAAGATTCAGGAAACTGAGGAAGGAGGATGGGAAATTTGAAATCAGTCTGGGCAATTTAGTAAATCCTTGTTTCAAAATAAAAGAAAAAGGACTGATTATGTAGCTCAGTGGTAGAGTGTTTGCCTACATGTCAATCCCTAGTACTGGGAAAAAAAAAAAAAAAAGATGCTCTACCACTGAGCCATATCCCCAGCCCCTAAAATGGGCTTCTTGTGAGGAATAGTCTGGGAAAATGGCAGAAAAGAGAATATAATACTTTCCTACTACAGTTTATTAAAATCTGCATGCATTCAAACTTGGAGCTAGTTTTCAGCTAATTTTTAAAAGTACTGTTTAACACAGTCATTGGAGACTACATAACAGAAAGAACACTGACCTAGGGTTAAGATTATCCCTGGTGGCGGGCTGGGTTGTGGCTGAGTAGTAGAGTGCTCACGCCCTGGGTTCAATCCTTAGCACCACATAAACATAAATAAATAAAATAAAGTATTATGTTCAACTACAACTAAAAAATAAATATTAAAAAAAAAAAAAAGATTATCCCTGGGGTCTCAGCTCCTGACTAGAAGGACACCTCTCTGAGCTTAGTTTCTTCATCTATAAAATAGATGAAATCTGTTTCATATAATCATAAAGGTTGAGTGAGAATGTGTATGTGCTTGTTATATTAGTATTCAATGTATATTAGTTTTCTTTCCCTTATTATTCATCCCTGTCTTATACATGTATATCCATTTTTTTTTTTTCTTGCAGCACTGGGAATGGAACTAGAGCTTTGTGCATGCTAGGCAAGCACTCTACCATCGAATCACATCTCCAGTATCTTTCTCCTATAGTCCATCCTATATTTAAGGGAATCTTAAATATGGCACATGCCCATAATCCCAATGACTCAGGAAATGTGTGTGTGTGTGTGTGTGTGTTTTGGGGGATTCTGGGGGCTTGAAACCAGGACCTTGCATATGCTAAGTAAGTGTTCCACCACTGAGTTACATCCCCAGCCCTTTTAAGTTTTGTTTTGAGATAGGGTTTGCTAAGTTTTCCATGCTGTTCTTTTCTTTTTTTTTTTTAATTTTAATATTTAGTTTTTAGTTTTCAGCGGACACAACATCTTTTGTTATGTATGTGGTGCTGAGGATCGAACCCGGGCCGCACGCATGCCAGGCGAGCTCACTGCCGCTTGAGCCACATCCCCAGCCCCTCCATGCTGTTCTTTAACTCCTGCCTCAGCCTTCCAGGTAGCTAGGATTATAGGAGTGTGCCACCTATCTGGCTTAAATCTATTTTTATCCCCTTTTTTTGCAGTGCTGGCATCAAATCCATGGCCTCACAGATACTAAGCAAGTGCTTTACCATTGCGCCACAACCACCCACCCCTGCGAATGAATCCTTTCTAACTGCAAAATAACCTCTATAAGAGCCTGTGTGTTGGCAGACCCCTATAATCCCAGCAGCTTGGAAGGCAGAGACAGGAGGCTCATGACTTCAAAGCCAGCCTCAACAAAAAGCAAGGCACTAAGTAACTCATTAAGACCCTGTCTCTGGGGTCTGGGGATGTGGCTCAAGCGGTAGCTCGCCTGGCATGCACGGGGCGCTGGGTTCCATCCTCAGCACCACATAAAAATAAAATAAAGATGTTGTGTCCACCGAAAACTAAAAAATAAATATTAAAAAATTCTCTCTCTCTCTCTCTCAAAGACCCTGTCTCTGAATGAAAATACAAAATAGAAATGGGGATGTGGCTCAGTGGTCAAGTGCCCCTAAGTTCAATCTCCATACCCCCTGCCAAAAAAACAAAAAACTTTAAAAGAGGATTTTTTGTTTTTGGGACAGTTTCATTATGCTGCTTAGGCTGGTCTCCAACTTGTAGTTTAAGTGATCTTCCTGCCTCAGTCTCTGGAGTAACTGGAACTACAGTCATGCAACACTGCATCTGGCTAAAGGGCCAGATTTTCACTTAGTAAACTTCTGGTTATATTTGGACCTTATTTAATAGTCTTTGGAAATTACTTAAGTTCTAACATTTTACTGATAAACTAATTTAGAAGGCATCTAAAGCTTAAAGTACAATTAAATTTGCAAGATTAGAGTATGTGCTCTACCAAATACTGGGTAATTTATTTTAGTATGCTTTCAGGACGGTTCAGATGAATTCATAGATTCCTTGTGGTATGAATTAAAAGATGTATAATGTATATTTTAACATTGTGAGGATGGAAGTAAGAGAATAACTTCCACCCTTTCCCATGTAAGATATATCCCGGTGTAACAATGGCAGACTCTCAGACTAGAGAGGTTTTGTTGTTGTTATTCTGGAGATTAAAAACAGGGATGCCCTACCACTGAGCTACATCCCCTGTCCTTCTTATTTGTTACTTTAAGACAGGGTATTGCTAAATTGCTGAGGCTAGCCTTGAACTTGCAGTTTTCCTCCTTGTTGAGATTGCAGGCATGTGCCACTGCATGGTGGCTTGGAGAGTTAAGGTGTGCCTTGACAAACAAGTAAGGAATATCACAAGTAATATGTATTGATTAACATTAAATTTATTTTATTCAAACTTATGAATAATTTATTTAGTAAATTAAGAATTGAAGTTTCCTATAAGAATACTATTACTTACCCTTCTCATAAACTTTCTTTCTTTTTTTTTTTTTGGTACTGGGGATTGAACCCAGGAGTGCTTTACCACCGAGCTACATTCACAGTCCTTCTTGTTCATTATTTTTTATTTTCAGACAGGGTCTTGCTAAGTTGCTGAGACTGGTCTCAAACTTGTGATCCTCCTGCTTCAGAGTCCCAACCTGCTGGGATTATAGGCATGGGCCACCATCCCAGGCTCTCATAAAGCTTTCTTATGGAAGAGAAAGGAGTTTTTAGGTTCCAACAGACAGAACCCTGGGTATACTGTCAGGATTATGAAGAATGTGAACATTACCTATGTGCATCATAGGAAAAACAGGCTTATGAGAACTGGTTTGGAAAACTGACTTAACAGGATACATCATTTCTCTAGGCTGGGGATATAGCAAAAACAGTTGGCAGAGTGTTTGCCTTGCATGCACAAAGCCCTGGGTTTAATCCCCAACACCAAAACAAAACAAAACAAAACCACAAACAAACCCATAGAATACAGCATTTCTTATGGCTAATAAGAGAAGATAAAATTAATACCAGGCTCTGAGTTTAGTATATAACCAATTTTGGAGGGCTTACTCTGACCTAGTTAATGTGTTAAGTTTTTACAGGGACATACAATCATTATGTGTCAACTAATAACAAAAAAGTAACAACAAAAAAAGGTGATGAGAGACAAGAAATGTGCGATTGACTAGATAAAATTAGTTATTAGGATAATTTTTTTCTACTAGCAAAAAAAAAACACACAAAACACCAAGGTCCCAGCTAGGGCCATAGCACACATGGCCTGCAACCCCAGCAACTTGGGAGGCTGAGGCAGGAGAATAACAAGTTCAAAGCCAGCCTCAGCAATATGGCAACTCCGTAAGTAACTTAGCTAGACCCTACCTCAAAATAAAAAATAAACAAGCCTGGGGATGTGATTCAGTGGTTAAACTCCCCTGTGTTCAATCCCCTGTACCAAAAAAAAAAAAAAGGTAGGTGAAGCTGGGCATATAGCTGAGTGGTAAAATCCCCCTGGGTTTAATCCCCAGTACCAAAACATAAAAAGGCTGGGCTTGGGTTGTGGCTCAGTGGTAGAGCACTTGCCTATAACGTGTGAGGCACTGGGTTTGATCCTCAGCACCACATAAAAATGAATAAAGTTACAGAAAAATGTATTTAAAAAAACTAATAGTGGGGTTGGGGTTGTGGCTCAGAGGTAGAGCACTGTCTAGCATGTGTGAGGCCCTGGATTAGATCCTCAGCACCATATAAAAATAAATAAAGTAAAGGTATTGTGTTCAACTACTTCTAAAAAACAAACAACTAATAGCAAAAAAATAAAATAAAAAGGCATCATAGCAATTTGTGGTAGAAGAAAACTGTTGAATACATTCATTCTGTGATTGTTCAAGGTATTAAGAGAAAAAAAAGGACAAAAATAGAAGCTACTCTGTAGCTATATTAGATCAGATTAGCATTTGGGAAAATTATAGATCCAGTTTTGCCACTAAATATAGAAATTCAGGATCTGTGACTTCTTTGGGTCTGTTTTTTCATCTGTAAAGTAGGTAGAGGTGAACTAGATAAACCCCAAATTTCCCTTAGATTCTAAAATGCTATAATGTTTTAAAATCTTTGAAATGTTTATTCAAAGCATTCCTTGGACAGAGATGTTCCATTCTAAATCCCGGGACATCTCAGGATCCAGATGTTTAAGAAGTTTCTAAGGGAAGGTATCCTTTAGATTTTCATCCCTATGTCCCATACAGAATCTCTACACACACAGAACGTGGGGACTTATAGTCCAGACTGACAATGGCTACTGATAGAAATGAGAAAGATATACTTTATTATTGCTGTTTGCATCAAATCTAAAAGCTTAGACTAGAAAGCAAGGCCTTTTATTAAATAACACTCCTTACCTCATCTGTCCCTATCCAATAAAGCCCTTATTTTTCAGCTGAGTCGGTCACATCCATTTTCCCCTTCCTGTTTCTGCTCTTGCTGGTCCCTCCATCTGGAAGGGCAGGGAGGGAAGAATAATGCATGTCCATTATTTCCTTTAAGACTAAGCCCTGTCTTTATATTTTATCAGCATGAATTCAAGGAATTTCTAGAAGCCTACACTATCATACAGTTATTTACATTCCCTTGCTTATACACAGATATTCCTCTTTTCTCCATTATTAGACTTTAAACACATTGAGTGTACACTGAATAAATGCTTATCTATTATCTAGTTTGTTTATTTATTGGTACTGGGGATTTAACCAAGGGGTGCTTAACCTCTGAGCTACATCCCAACCCTTTCTGTTTTTTAGTCTGAGATCTCACTAAATTGCTAAGGCTGGCCTTGAATTTGTGATCCTCCTGCCTCAGCTGAGTTGCTGAGATTACAGGCATGTGCCATCAAACCCAGCTCTAATTATCTAGTCTATAAATGGAACAGCGTCCCAGAAAGCAAAAGAATTAATGGTTTGGGCCTCTTTTAACTTTGTGCTATGTCAACTCCCTAATTCATCCTCTCCATTTTCTTTATTGTCTGCAAACTCCTATCTTCAAGCCTAAGGTAAGGGCCAATTCTGGACATGAAAAGACAACACAGTTTGAACTTTGGGTTTCATATTTTTTTCAGTTCATTTCCATAAAAACATAATATAAAAGGCAATGCCACCATCTTCCCCTTGTGGGGTGATCCATCAAGCTGGTCTGGGCTGCTCCAGTGGTTCATAGCTCATCATGAGATATGTGAAGGGCATGGTCACATAGATCTGCAAATAGCACATAACAATTTAAAGAAAAATGCCACTATTATACTGATATGTACCACTATAAGAAAATACCAAAGCCAAACAGACACATATACCAACCACCACTCTTCAAAATATATACTTATAAATGACAAAATACTGGGCTGGGGATATAGCTCTATGGTAAAGTGCTTGCCTAGTATCTGTAGGCCCTGGGCTCAATCCCCAGTACTACACGCACACACACACACACACAAAAAAAAAATCCCCACTATTCCCTCACTTATATCTCAAATCAGAGAACTATAAATTCTGAAAGCTTACAGAAAGAGAATGGAGAGGAACAACTCAGGTCCTTAGGCCAAGGGAAATGGAAGCCAATTCTGAAGGTTTTATCAAAGGATTTTGTGGGAGAGGGGATGGGAATGCACCAGGTGATGGGAATGCACAGGGCTATATAATTAGGAGATTAAATAGGAGTAGCTTACCTGTTCGCTTACTGCAAAGTTTGTCTTTAACATTGTCAGCCTCTCGGGAAAAGAATTCAATAAGTTCATCCTCATATTCCTCCACAATGCTCTCACACTGCCAAATCAAGGGAGAAATGAGTGACAGAACAGCAAGAAGAGGCCTCTTGTTCCCACCTCTAGAGAAGAGGATAAAGATACAGACCCAAATTTCAAGGTGTGCTGTCCAACAACCCCCTAATTTCCAAGAACCAACTACCCACAGTAATATCTCACCGCAAACTTGAGTGTGCCACTGATATCTGAATCAATTCGGATGCCTTGTAGGTCCAGTTCACTGGATTCTCCATTCCGGCCCACAACACGAACGTAGTTCTTGCGGTGGGTGGATGGATCAATCTGTTCCCCATATTCCTTCATGCGGTCACATACCTCCTCTAGCAGCTCTGTGAGGTGGGCCTCTGAGCGGGCATAAGGTACCTAGAAATGTCCTCAGCATTGGGTCACTCTGTCTAACTCATAAACTAGTAATTTATTTTTAATTTTTTAAAAATACTTTTATTTCACTTATTTATTTTTATGCAGTGCTGAGGATCGAACCCAGGGTCTCGCACGTACAAGGCGAGTGTTCTACCATTGAGCCACACCCCTAGCCCATAAACTAGTAATTTATGTCCTTACTTTTCCTTCCAAATCTAGCTCAACCAACCTGTTCTAAAACACTTTCTCTAATTAAAAATAGTATGATTGGGGCTGGGGTTGTGGCTCAGCGGTACAGCACTCGCCTAGAATGTGGGAGGCCCTGGGTTCAATCCTCAGCACCACATAAAAAAATAAATAAATAAAATAAAGATTATTTAAAAAGCATGGTTTACTTGTATAGTTTCAACTTCCAAATATAATGTTCTTGTTTTGCCTGATTACACATTGGCTCCAAATCAAAAGTAGATTAACTTTTTTTTGTCTTTGTTTTTGACTGGGGATTGAACCCAGGGGTGTTTTACCACTAAGCCACATCCCAAGCCCTTTTTTATTTTTAATTTTGAGACAGGGTCTCACTAAGTTGCTTAGAGTTCCACTAAATTATTGAGATTGACCTTGAATTAGTGATCCTCCTGCTTCAGCCTCCCAAGTTGCTGGGATTACAAGTATGTACCACCACTCTTGTTCTCTTTGATTAACAAACTGTGTTATTTCCCTTTAATTCTCTTAACTCTTGTGGATGTAAGTAATATATATTTGTTCTTTTTGGTATTAAAATGAGATTAATTCCTGCCCTGAATAAAAGCATTAAAGAGACAATGTAGAAAACATCATAACGTTAACATTTTTGTATATACTACTCACTAGGTAGAGCTTTATGTGTTTGTATTATGTTTCCACTAAAAGAAATTTCCTAATTACAAGGATAAGACCTTTTATTCTTTTTTTGAATGAATGTTTATATGGATTAAGGAAGTAGAGAAGGGAGCTGTTCAAGTTTCCCTGTCTGCTAATAACTTCTGTGGCAGAAATAAATTATTAAAGTTTGGAGTCAGGAAGCAAGTGCACAGGGTTTAAGCATCCAGCCTCTTCCAAATGAGACGGAGCCTAATCTTTTAGAAAACCCTTAGGTTCAGTTTTCTTCACTTCAATTAAACCAAGGTCCTTCTTGAGTTCTCATTCATAGCCAGACTGAGCTATTTTATTTGGGGGAACAGTAACAGTTACCTCCACCACTGACTGGCTGCCATCTGGATTAATCCGGAAAGATCCCATCTGAATGGTCTTCTTGGGATCCACCTGAGCAATTTCCCACTCTAGTTCATCCACCAGAGCCCTGCAAGCTGGTGCAAGGAGAGAGAATTGAGGGATGGAGGGTAAGGCGCAGAGGTAGAAGGAGAATTGATCAACCCAAGGATTTCCATTCATCCTTCTCCCATGCCTTGTATCTGCCTAATGCCTCTCAAGAATCTGCTTCCTCCCATTTCTCTTTGTGGCTTTACCTCCACAGTGTAGATCCTGGCTCCTTCGAGCTGAAGCAGTTCCCAGCAGGGCTCCCAGAAGCAGTGCCAGCCAACCCCAGCCTTTCATCTTTAGCATAATGGGGTCGCTCCACCTAGGTTTGTATGGGAAAAAATATAGGAATGAGAGCCAACTCCATTTTTCCCTGATGCCCCACCCGCACCCTCTCCTTCCCATCCAAAGGCCTTGAAAGGCCTCAGTGTGACTCTGATTCTACTTTCCAGGAAATGGCCGGGACTCATAAGGGTTCCTCTGTGCCATTGCTTGAGGGGCCCCATTCCTCCAGGAGGTGGGTGAGCGCCAGCTTAGTACTTGGAATTCAGTTCCAGAAACTATGTCGACAGGTGAGGCCTTGGATGTTGGTACTTTAGCACAGGATGCTGAAGGCTCATAAGGCTGTGTGGCAGCCACTGGACAGAGGTTGGCACAGACTCAGAGGGTGCCAGCCATCAAGGAGCCTCATTCAGGCCAGGAAGCTGGTGAGACTTCTCAATAACTAGGGCCTATTTGGGTCCAGCACCGAAGAATCCTGCATCTCCACCTCCAACCTATAAGTTATTGCTGGCTACCCGGGCAGACCAGTCCCCTTTCTATGGACTCCGCCAATGCTTTCGCTCAGGTCTATTCCCAACCCTTAGCGCCCCGCGCCTGGGCTGCCCGCGTCAGTCCCACCTCGGCTCCCAGGGCCGCCGCCGTGGCCCAGGCGCTGGAAGACGGCTGGACTCTCACTTTGGCCTCGGTGGCTCCCAACCCTAGCACCTGGCTGCAGGAGAGAGGGGCTGTCCAGGCTTCTCCAGAGCCCTTCTGCGCTTTCCACGCTAGGGGTACCCTAGGCAGCCGCCTAATCCAGGTTCCCGCACACCTAATTAGGCACCCAGCTGGGTTCAGAGGCACAGCTGTGCAAGCCCCCAACAGGGAATGACCCGAAGCCCGCCCCTCTAAACTCTCGCGCGAACAGGCAGCTTATGAGTGGCTCTGAGGCAGCGAGGACCCCATCGATCGCAGAAGGACCCAGACTTGCGTGGCGAACAACTCCACGTGACCTCAGAAGTCACCCGAACCGGAGTAGCTTAAAGTGAGGACAGAAGCCCTGCGTGGTGTACAGGGATAGAAAGGCACGCGCCTTATCAGTCCATGTAGGCAAGGACATTCAAAAAGGTATGTTGATAGCCGGCAAGAAGCCGGAGTTTCAAGTACAGAGGAAACTACAATTCCCAGGAAGCACCGCAGCACTAGACGTACTTTTTATCAGTAGTTACAAGTCTTAAAAAAGAAACTGGGACTTGTAGTTTGTCAGCTCACAAAATTAACTGGGAAAAGGCACTGTAAATCTTCAAACAATCCGACTTTAGGAAATTAGGCAGCTACAGCAAAGACTTAGCATTTTTTAGGAAACATATACTTCAGAACTTTACCTTCATTTCTAGGTAGGGATCTGAACACTAGTTTTCCATGGTTATATAAAGCCAAAACAAAGAAGAGGAAGTTAAGAAAACCCCACACTAGAAGTTCTCTATAATATAATGAGAAGACAGACAATAATTTTTGTTTTTATTTTATAAAACATGCGGTTTAAAACAATTTAAAAAAAAATTAAAACAAAACTTGAGACAGGAAAATGAATGGAAGACAGATGCTTCTCAGTTGTCATCAGGTCAAGCTTTCTCCGGGACCCAAAGTGCCTTTTGGCAATGGTGTTGGCAATACTGGTTTGCTAGGGCCAAGACTACATGCTGGTTCCTCCAGGCATCCCTCAAGTTTGAGCTAAGTCTGGAGCTCCTGTTGTAGCCTGTCACTATCCAGGACTTCAGTTCCTAGCCGGCTAGGAACTAAAAGATTTGGTTCCAGGTGCTTTTCTGCCTGGATATTAATCATTCATGATATTTATTAAGAATACCAGTTACTTTCCATCTGGGTCAATCCTAGATTCCTTTTTCTGACCCACTGTTTTGCAAAGGATCAAGAAGGAACCGGGCTCCCAAAACCTTTGCAACAACTTTGTTACATTCCAGTTCAGTTAGTAGCACCATCTGAGGACCCTGAGCAGGTCCAATTCTGGAAGTGGGCAGGGTAAAGCCAACTTGGGAAGCCATCCTCAAGTTCTAGGGTCATAGAACACTGAAGGAAGAAGGCAGGTCAAAGTGCCAGCACTGAGGAAAAGACAGCTGCATCTGTTAAGAGACAAAACCAAGAGCAACACTCTGAAGGTCAACTGGGGAAAACACCTGGAAAACTACTATCTTTCCCCTCACCCTCAGTACTGGGGACTGAACCCAGGGGTGCTTTACACCCCTGGGTGAGCTAATTCCCCAGCCATTTTTTTCCCCAGTCCTGTCATATATATAAATATTTTTAGTTGCCTATGGACCTTTTTATAAAAATGTTTTATTTTTAAGGTGTAATTGGACACAATACCTTTATTTATATTTTATTTATTTTTATGTGGTGCTGAGGATCAAACCCAAGGCTTTGCACGTGCTAGGTGAGCGCTCTACTGCTGAACTACAACCCCAGCCCCTGGACCTTTTTTTTTTTTAAATACCGTTTTTAGTTGTAGATGGACACACAATATCTATCTATCTTTCTTTCTCTCTCTCTCTCTCTCTCTCTCTCTCTCTCCCCCCCCCCTCTCTCTTTCGTGCTGAGGATTGAACCCAGTGCCTCACACATGCCAGACAAGTGTGCTACCACTGAGTCACAACCCCAGCCCCTGGACCTTTATTTTATTTATTTATATACAGTGCTGAGAATCAGACCCAGTGCTAGGTGAATATTCTACCAGGACATTCTACCACGGAGCTACAACCCTAGCCCTCCAGTCCCGTTTATTTTTGAGAGACAGTCCCACCAACTCATTGAGGATGCCCTCTAATTTGTGATCCTCCTGCCTCATCCCCCTGAGGAGCTGGGATTACAGGTGCACACCATCAAACACTAGAATACTTTTTATGAAGAAAAAATGCAAGACAAAAGAGGACAAGGATGCTCCCCAAACATTTTAGAATTGGGCAAGAGGAGATTCTGGACCAATAGAGAGTTTCAATAATATATTATGCTTCAGTGACTATTAAAAGGATTAAGTGCTTTTGTAAACTGTATTTCACAAATATAAGGCAGGGATGATATTGTTATTACTGTGGTATGTATAAATCTCCATGCAATCAAAACCTACCCAATCCAGTTTCCCTTGTCCCATCCCAGGCCTTACTCTTGGGACTCGTCTGGCTCTCAGGCTCAGGCACTTTCCAGTCCATCTTCCGGCCCTTTTCATAAAGACCCTTGAGCACCTTGTGGAAGGATTCAGGCTCAGTGCCATTCTTGCTTAGTTCCAGATACTTTCGGTAGAGCTGAAGGGCTGTGCGGGCATCCTCAATACTGTCATGGGTCTCCCCTTGAATTTTCAGGTCTGGAGAAATGAGAGGTGGAATAGTTTGAAAGCCAGCAAAGGCAGGCAGGAACATGCTCCCCTGCTCCCACCCTGTCTCCTAGGAAACAATAATTTTAAAAAACATGCCTTTCCTGGGCTGGGGCTGGGGCTGAGCGGTAGAGCACTAGCCTAGCATGTGCGAAGCCCTAAGTTCAATCCTCAGCACCACATAAAAATAAATAAATAAAGGTATTGTGTCCAACTACAACTAAAAAATAAATAAGTATTAAAAAAAAACTAAACAAAAAACATGCCTTTCCTTAATGGAAAGAGTCAAACACCTTCCCTATAATACTGAAACAAACTAAATCCAATAGTAACTCTCACCACTAACTCATAGCCCTACCTACTCCCCTTTTGTCTGCCAATACATTTTTTTACTCTGTTTTTTTTTTTTTTTGGTGTGTGTTTGTATACGGGGATTGAACCTAGGGGTACTTTACCATAAGTTATATTCCCAGTCCTTTTTATTTTTTATTTATTTTTTAAAAAATATTTTTTTTAAAAAAAATATTTTTTTAGTTGTTGATAGATCTTTATTTATTTATTTGTGGTGCTGAGAAGCAAACCCAGTGCCTCACACATGCCAAGCAAGTGCACTACCACTGAGCCCCAGCCCCAGCCCCAGCCCCGCTTTTTATTTATTTTTTATTTTTAAAAAAAATATTTATTTTTTAGTTGTAGTTGGACACAATGCTAAGGATCAAACCCAGGGCCTTGCATGTGCTAGGCGAATGCTCTACCACTGAGCCTCAACCCCAGCCCTCCTTTTTATTTTTTGAGACAAGGGCTTGCTAAGTTGCTGAGGCTGGCCTTGAACTTTTGATCCTCCTACTTCAGCCTCCTGAATTGCTAGGTTCTGGGATTATAGACATGAACCCTCCCCCTAACCCAGCACACCTTTTTTTGTTTTTTGAGACATGGTCTATGTTGCTCAGGCTGGCCTCAAACTCACAATGCTCCTGCCTCCTGGGTAGCTGGAATCACAAGTATGAGCCACTATGCCTAGCTAAAATTTCCTATTCTTAGCCCCACAGGGACCTATGAGGCAGAGGCAACTCACCCAGAAAGTACCACGCAAGGAATCGCAGGGAAATCATTCGTTTTCGGGGCATGTGGAACAGGTAGACAGTATCAAGGACTTGGTCCTTGGGCACCTAGCAGGGACAAAAAATGGGAGACTTAAAGTATGGATACATAATTTCCCATTCTCCAAAAGCACAATAGTTTACCCTGAGTGGCCCACCCTCAAAAGTGACTCTTAAGCCAGGTGTGGTAGTACAAGCCTGTAATCCCAGCAGCTTGGGAGGCTGAGGTAGGAGAATAGCGAGTTTAAAGCCAGCTTCAGCAACTGAGCTAGGCCTTAAGTAACTCAGTGAGACTTTGTCTCTAAATATAATATAAAAAAGGGTTGGGGATATGGCTCAGTGGTTGAGTGCCCCCAATTTCAATCACCAGTACCCCAAAAAAAAAAAAAAAAAAGTGACCCTTAGAAAAGCCCTATCCGAACCATGAGATTGATGACCCGGAAGTCTTTTTGCAGGCCATGCCCCACAAACTTGACTCCAATGTCAATGAGAAAACGAAGCTTTAAGTAGGTAGACTTGAGAGTTGTGAGGTGTTTGGAGGAAATTTTGGCATCAAGGTCTCCTGGCTTTATCCCCGAGTACTGAGTCAAGTAATCCACTACCTAGGAAAATAGAAAAGGACAGATTACTCACTACGTAAGGTGCAGTCTCCTACCACTTTTCCCTGGGTTCTCAAGCACTTTATATAAGCACAGCATCTGCCTCACTGGCACCTCATATGCTAATACCTGCTCCTGAGTAGAGATGTAGTCATCTATGAAGGGGATACCCTCATTGGGCCCTTGGCCCCGAACACAAGTGATCCTTGCTACTGACATCTGACTTGGTTTAATGGTAGACTTGGTACCATCACTGCGTAACTCTGCTTCTTCCTACATGATAAGAGTTAAGAAAATCAGAGAGATGTTTACAATTCCTAGTATCCTTCGAGTTCTGTTCTAATGCACCATCCTTTTGGTCTTAGTTACCTCGTTTAGGGTGACAAACTCAGCATCAAGGCCTACCAGGTCCCCAACCTGTGGCATTTCATTCAGCATCAGTGGAATAAAGGTAGTATGTGTTTTCCGTTGCTTCCGTGCCAGTGAGGCTTCAGCCAACAGCACACTAGCCTCAATAGGGTTCTTGACTGGAAGAGAGAATGCAGAGGACAGAGAGCTGGGGATAAGGAACTGACTAGGGGAGAGAAGCCTACAATGGCAAATCAGAGATTCTGGTATGTATAGTGATCCCTTAGTAATCAAAGCATGAGTAAAAAGATTGTATTTGATAAACACAGCCCATAAACAGAATAGATCAAATCACAAAATTATCATGAAATATGCCAAGAAAAGAGACTGGGATGTAGTTTAAGGTAAAGTACTTGCCCAGCATGCATAAGGCCCTGGACTCAAAACTCCAGGGCTACACACAAAAAGAAAAAAGAGACAGAGAGACTCCGTGAAAAAACTATAAAAGGGGCTGGCGTTGTGGCTCAGTGGCAGAGCACTTGCCTTGCACATGTGAGGCACTGGGTTTGATCCTCAGCACCACATAAAAATAAATAACCAAAATAAACATTTAAAAAATCTAGAGAAAAAAAGAATAAGATTGTTAATTTGTACCTTAGAAAATCCAGAAAAATAAGGCTACAGAGAAACTACGATTTAAAGGTACCAAACAGGGACTTAATAAGGAGCTCAACTCTAAAAGAAGAGAGATTTATAACATAAAACCATTTTGATCAAACTTCCCCTCACCCTCTCTCCCATTCCACCCTCAGGATTTCCAGCTTCTAAGTTTAATGTCTGATAAACAGAATCTCTATAGTATCCCTGGAAATAGCAGTGGTTACCAATCTTGTATACTAACAAGCTATTTCCCAGATGTCTTTCTGAAGCCCAATTTAAGCTGCCCACACCCAAGGTCTACTCCTGTACCACTTACTATTCAGGTTGTATCTGGAATTGAGATTCCTTTTGATATAATAAAGGATAGCAGGTACTTTCCAATTCATGTCAAATTGCACTGCTTCATACTAGAGAAGAGAAAAAGAGGTTGTGCATATAATTCAATGGTAAAGTGCTTGCCTGGCATGTGCAAGGCCTTGGGTTCAATCCCTAGCAGAAAAGAAGGAAGAAAGAGAAAAAGAAGGAAGGAGGAAAAGGTAGGGAGGGAGGGAAGAAAGGAGCGAAGGAGGAAAAGAAAAGTAAAAAAAGTACTTTTGGCCTATGTATACATATGTCCCTTTTTTTTTTTTTTTTTGAATTTTAATATTTATTTTTTAGTTTTCGGCGGACACAACATCTTTGTTTGTATGTGGTGCTGAGGATCGAACCCGGGCCGCACGCACGCCAGGCAAGCGCGCTACCGCTTGAGCCACATCCCCAGCCCCGATATGTCCCTTTTTCTTCTTCCCCAAGTCAGAGGCCAAGACTCAAGTGATGTTTTTAATTTAGCTAACACCTGTTATTCCTGAATATTCCTTCCTCCCTCTTGAATATGCCTGGCATTCTACAGGACCTAGAGAATGAGAATGCTAGGAAAGGGGAGATGAAAAGAGAAGAGAACATGTTGCAACTCACCTTATCAATAGGTTCAATAAGGAAGTCATTGAAGAGATACCATTGCTGATGAGTAACGCCCTGTGTAGAATCAGAGAAAGGCTGAGGCCAAAGTTATGGCTGGACCACTGTGTCAGAAGCTCAAGGACAGATCTGGGACTCTACTATGGTCATCCCCAGGAGTGACCTTGCTCTATACCATCTCACTTACCTCCTTGCGCTGGTGGTAGGTCTCTCCAACTTTGATGTGAGCCACCAGGCTGCCCCCTGTGCGTGAGTCCAGGATGTGTACCACAGTAGCCATCAAGTCATACACATAGACACCATGCTCCTCCTCTGCCCTGGCTGGGCCCCACTGTGAGGAGGGTACCCAGGCTGCTAAGCTAAGTTTAAGGATAGGTGTAGGGGGAGTGGAGCTAGAGGACAAGGAGTTGGGTGAATAGGGAATGGGGGACCAGGGTGCATTACATCCATTCTAGCCCATCTATGACGCATAGCACTAAACTGAAAATCCCACAGCTGATAAATACTAGGCCTTATTCCTTTCTTTCTCCTCTACTAAGTTCCACCTTGCCCCTGTCCTACTTCACCTTCTATCCCACCTTTTCTCCCTTAGTCCCTCTCTTCTTCCCAATTTTTCCAACAACCTGCACTTCAGTCCAATTGCAAACATCCAGCCCTTTGTTCTTGGTCATCTTCATGCGAATGGAAAAAGGAAGCCAGACGTTCTTCAACTCCTCAATGGAGGGACACAACAGCACACCCTCTGGACTCCCTAGTTCTTTCCTATCAGGACAGAAGAATTGGAAATGTACTCTGAAGAGAGCTAGTCAGTGATAAGAGTTACTATGGGTAGTTTAATCTGTTTTTTTTTTTTTCTCATAGCAGTAGTGATTGAACCTAGGGCTTCACACAAGCTTCACAAATGTTCTACTACTGAGCTACATCCTCAATCCTTTTAAAAAATTTTTGAGACACTCTCTTGCTAAGTTGCCCAGGCTGGCCTTGAACCTACAATCCTCCTGCCCCAGCTTCCCAAATGGCATGTGCCACCATGCCCAGCTAGTTCAATCCTTTGACAACTCCTAAGACAGAACCTACCGATCAGCCAAAGAAAATTCCTTGTTCTTGGAGATTTCCCCACCATGTTTCTTTACTGCCATCTTGAAGGCAACCTGAACACAAAGGATAAAACATCTGATTCTTCAAGAACATGATCACACAGAAAGGAAGAAAAATATAAAGTACTCCTAAAGGCCCTGTTTCTAGCCTCAGTCCTTACCTCAGCCTGCATTCTCCAGAAATCAGCCTCTTTTGAGCTGTTCACTTCACAGTTAATAACAAGAATATCTGGCAGATGGCAGATATTGCGGGTCTGAATCTGAGAAAACAAAATAAACAAGAAATAGCACGGAAGCTGAGGGTGGTGGCACACGCCTGTAATCCCAGAAGCTCAGGAGGCTAAGGCAGGAGGATTGCGAGTTCAAAGCCAGCCTCAACAAGAGCAAAGCAACTCATTAAGACCCTGTCTTTAAATAAAATACAAAATAGGGCTGGGGATGTGGCTCGGTGGTCAAGTGCCCAAATTCAATCCCAGGACCAAAAAAAAAAAAAAAAAAGAAAGAAATATCAGGGAATCTACAGGGTAAGAAACCTGTACAGGAACAGTAAAACCTGGGCCTATAGCCTCAAATTTGGTTTCTTCCCACCCCCCCTATATATATATCCCTAGATTATAGTGCCAACATAGTCAGGTCCAAGTGGGACCTGGCCAAGTCCCCAACATGGTTGTACTCCATCCAGTTCAGGGTAATACCCACTCACCGTGGGCTGGTACTTCTCACAGTTGTCACACCAGGCCTGTGTATTCTGCTCCAGGCAGATGCTTCGCTTCAGCACCTGAGCAAAGTCATAATTCTTCCCGGTTTTATCTGAGAGGAAACTGGATACTTCACTCCAGGTTCTCCCTTCCACCCATAATTAATCCACCCCCCCCACCAAGGTTACAGGACACCTAGGGGAGGCTTCCCAACCCAGCTGCAGGGTATACCACAGTTGCTACCCTCAGGGTAGGAGAGTGTGAAAAGCAGAGTGGATGAAGCTCGCACGGTCTCACTGCCACAGCGACAAAGGCTGCAGTTCTCCATCTCACAGCTGAACAGTTGCCCAATAACAGAGTCCCCCGATGAACAAAAGCTGCTAAGAGTGGGGAAGGCAACATATACATACTGAGGAAGTAAGGAGACCCTTTAAGTCCCAGAAGGGCCTATCATGTTTCTTTAACTATTCCCAACCAATGCTATACCTGCCTCCAGCACCTCGATATGCCTGGGGTACTTCAAGCTCCTGCATATCCTGATGCAGTTGAGTGAGAATGAAGCGATTCCACCTCTGAATGAGCCTAGCCAGATTGCCCTTGCCTGAAGCCTCATCTGAGTCAGCTAGGATCAGACCAAGGGCTGAGGCCTCAGGAATGGTACGGAATGCCCGAAGAAAATTACTGCCCTGGAAAGGGGTATGTGGATGGAAAGGGGTTATTTTCTCTTTTGTGGCCATTTGTACAACAATGTCCCTGCCTACTGTCCATCTCCCTTCCCCTTCCATTTTCTTTAATTTAAAAATAAATTCAGTTTTACTACATCCGTATAACTTTTTTAAAATTAACTTATTTATTTTAAGTGGGTATGTATGATAGCAGAATGCATTTTGATTCACTGTACACAATTGTAGCATAACTTTTTATTTCAGTGGTTGTACACAATGTAGCATCAAACCATATGTGCAGTCATACACATACCTAGGGTAATCATGTCCATCTCATTCTACCAACTTTCCTGCCCCCATGCACGCTCCCCCACCTTCGCCCAATCACAGTTCCTCCATTTTCCCCATGCCTCTCCCCTTCTCCTTCCATTTTAAGTGTCCCAGGTATCCAGGCACTGACCTGGCAAGGATCACCACGAGAGAGGTCCAACATATGGAAGAGGAAGCCCAGTTCACATGCCAGACAGAACTCCTTCTGGCAGAGATGGTTCTGAATTAGACAGCGAACAGGCTCCAGGAAATAGAGCACCTAGAGGGAAGAGCAGAAGAGGTGAGGGTATCTGGGAGGAGATGAGAGATGGAGAGGTTAAGTAAGCTGTTGGAGAATACAAAGTAGAATTCCACTAAAGCTGTGGAGCTCACAGTGGAGATTTGAAGATGTGTGGGCAAAAAAGAATACTAGATGAGTCTAAGGTACAGTGAGCTTGATTGAGGACACTTGGGAAGAGTAGAGTAGGAGTTGAGGGGCAACAAAAATGGAAGAAAAAAAGCAGTAGGCATGTTCCAGTTATACAATACCCAGTCCTTACCTGAATCATGCAGTTACAGTAGGCATTGGGGATGTGAGGCTCTAATCCAGCAAAAAGGGTCTTATTGTAGTGTTTGAAGTCAAAGTCTTCAAGCCCTAGCTTGGAATATTTGATGGTTACCTATGGTAAAAACAGTCTAAGCAGGATGAGTCTTTAGAGTCCCCAAATCTTCCCAGTAGCCATAGCCTTTCCTAAAAACCTCCCTCCTGGGTCCAGAGTGGTAGGTGAAAGCTTCTTGACAGAATCCTTTCATCCTTCTCATATGACACTTCCCAGGGCACCTTTCCCCATAAGCCACAGAAGTCCTGCCTTGGGGCCCTCCAGCACCTTGCGGTATTTCTTTGAAACCATGTGGAGATGTGGCTCCTCTTCCCGTCCTATCGGTGACTCAGTGACCTGGCTGAAGCTATCAAATTCACTATCCAACTCCTTAAGTCGGTAAGGAATCTAGGGTTTTAAAAAAAAGGTTAACTCTGTTGGATGTCTGTCTTTTCTTTTTTCTTTTCCTTTTTGTAGTGCTAGGGATCACATCCAGGGCCTCATGTTTGTCAGCCAACCATTCAACCACTGAGCCACATTTCTAGCCCTAGTTGGATATCTTAATCATCTTTGGTTTCCACCTCTCTTTTATACCAACACTGAAACAGCCACCAAGTTCTGAGCCTTCTATTTTCATGAAAAATAGAAACAGTATTCACTGTTTCCTTTTTATTTCTACTGCCATATCAGCTGGACAACTGTAGTGGCTTCCCCACTGGTCTCCCTATATCCACTCATTTCAGTTACCAAACTAACCCTCACAGACTGCTGCTTTCAAAGTGCATCGCTTCTTTTTTTTTTTTTTTTCTTTGATTGGGGATTGAACCCAGAGACACTCTACCACTGAGCTACACCCCCAGACTTTTAAAATTTTTATTGAGACAGGGTCTCACTAAGTTACTGAGGCTGGCCTCAAATCTGCCTCAACCTCCAAAGTAGCTAGGATTATAGGAAAGTGCCACCATGCCTAGCTCTACTACACACTGGTGTTAAAAGCTTAACAGCTTGGCCCTAATTTTTATCTCTCACTACTTTCTAGTACTAACTGCTGTTCTAGCCAGACTGGTGTACTCTTAGTTCCTCAGAACAGGCTTTTGCATTAATTCCTCTTGAGACTTCCAATAACACTGTTCTTCATCTTGAATATTCTCCTTCATTACCATTAACTTACCCATATCCCATATTTGCAGTTCAATATCCACCTCTTTCATTATGCCACCCTTTACCACTCTAGTCCAGAGTAACACTTCTCTTCTAAATAGCCCTAGTACTAAATGTTTATAATGTTCCTTTGGAATTTAACGATAGGACATAACTAATTTCTGATGTGGACTGGGGATGTAGCTCAGTGGTGGAGTGCTTACCTAACATGCACATAGACCCTGGGTTCAATCCCCAGCATCACCAAAAAATATGAATAATAATAATAACTTCTGACATGACTAATGTCTTACCTTCAACCAAATACTAAACTTCCTAAGAACAAGGACATCTTCTACATCTTTGAATCCTCTCTAACATAGTTCCTTCAATTCAGCAAGTCTCCAAATGCCCTAACCAATTGTTTGAAAACACAAAAAAGACTAATAAAGGAAAAAGATAACACCAGTTGGCTAGGGTGGGATTATTTCCCCTTTGAACACACCTGATTACGCAGCCTGGTGCGGGGGTTGGGTGCATAGCCAATGAAGCCCACTTTCTTCATGGTGCGCAGAATCTCTGCATCGACAGGTGGGGCTCGCCTATAATTCAATATGATTCTAAGGCTTGAAGAGTCATAGTATCTATACATCCACTCCCTAATGCCCAAGGGGGGGGGGGTGCAGGAAATACTAAAGATAGACAGAAATTAGCAAAGTGGTATAAAAATAACAGAGCTAGCAGAAAATTCTATCTTGGCCTTTTCCCCTTCCCTCCTTTTGGCCCAGAGGTGAGGTATAACCTGGGAGCTGGAGCTGAGTTGGCAGCAGGCCAATCAGAGAGAAGTGTGTCCGTTGTGAGTGGAACAGGGATGAGGGAAAGAGGCAGCAGGTCCTGGCTCCAGTCCAGAGGAGGTAATGAGTCCACCAGACAGGGCAAAGCAAATTCAGTCTCCCGTGAATAGGGGTTGAAGGAAGGCTCTGGGGAATCAGTCCAGAGGTGCACACAGCCCTCAGAATCCCCAAAGGCAAGTGCTTGCTTGCTGGCTGACACATCAAATGTCATTAGCAGAGGTCCCACAGGATTCACATGAAAGATGTCTGCTGGGTTGGCCAGGCCTGTGGGCTCACAAAACTGGCACTGCCCTAAGAGGGAGAAAGAAGCCCACTGAGTCCTGAAAAGTGAAAAGGAGACTTCCTTTTATACCTTCTCTATCCTCTTCTCCTGATATCAAGGCAAGACAGATCCTAAATTCACGTCTATAGTCAGAATGACGATGCCTTCCCATGAACTACAAGATGGTTTGCTACCCAGAAAAAAGCACTTCTCAAATTATTTTGCCTATTCTATCTTTATCTTTTTCTGTGTTCCTCATACCCAAGGAGAAAATAAAAGCTTTCACCTCTAACAAAGCCTAAGTAAAACCCTGGGACCTGATGAAAAGTTATTTTTCCCCCCAACAAAATGGTGTCTAGGAGAATATTCCTTCTGGTGCCATCTTCTCCTTTGCTCATTGACCTCTCCTACCCAATCCCCTTCATACCTGACTGAGAGATGATAGCAAGACGAGAAGTATATGTAGGGATGAAGCGCAAGAAGGCAGGATCCACATGTACTTGAAGTGGTGTGATGGCACGCATCATGCGCAGATCATACACCTTGAGGAAACGGTCACAGGCCAGGCCAGTGAGGCGGCTAGAAAAGCCACAGGCAGCCAACAGGTTGCCATGCACGTCAAAATCTGACAGACTCCCTGAGAAGGCATCAAATTCATGCTCCACCTTAAAACTACGGAGGTCTCTCAGGGAAACCTAAAGAAGAAATAACTGTTATCTGCTAACTCTGTCCCTGTCACCTACCTAAACTTGTGAGGTCCCTACCAAGGAACTAAGGCTCTAGGATATGAAGAATTAAAAACAAGAAAAAGGCAGGGTATAGTGGAGCATTCCTGTAATCCTAGCAACTCTAAAGACTGAGGCAGGATGATCAAAAGTTTAAGATTAGCCTCAGCAACCTAGTGAGACACTCAGCAATTTATCAAAATTTTTCGGGGCTGGAGTTGTGGCTCAGTGGTAGAGCGCTCGCCTAGCACACGCAAGGTCCTGAGTTCGATCCTCAGCACCATATAAAAATGAACAAATGAAACAAAGATATTGTGTCCAACTACAACTAAAAAATAAATATTTAAAAATTTTTTTTTTCAAAAATACATTTTTTTAAAATAAAAATATACAAAAGGACTGGGGATATGGGAATGTAACAATGTAGCTCAGTGGTAAAGTTCCCCTGGGTTCAATCCCCAGTACTAAGGGAAAAAAAAAAAAAAGCATAAAAAGAAGACAAGAGCTAGAAGCTACCCTCAAAAGAACTCATTTACGGGACTGGGGTTGTGGCTCAGTGGTAGAATGCTTGCCTGGCGTGTGTGAGGCACTGGGTTCGATTCTCAGCACCACATATAAACAAATAAATGAATAAAGGTCCATCGATAATGAATAAAAATTTTAAAAAAAGAACTCATTTACCCCTTTGCCTCCAAGGTTCCTAGTTATAAAAAACATTAGGATGCAAGATAATCTCATAGTATAACGTAACTGATAAATGAATTTTTCCTCTCATCATAGACCCCACTCTTCTAGTGAAATGGCCTGTGGTAAGAAGAGTTATGGAATTTGGCCACCTTGCCAGATGTGTGACCACAGAAGAAGAAGCGATTTGTCTGCCTCATAATGGTGACTCCAGGTATCTCGACTGCATACTAAAAAGGGAAGTAAGGAGAAAACAGTGAGAATAATGATTTTTCCCACAGGCTAAAAGACAGAAAGGTCACATCCACATTTCTAGCACATGTTCAGCCCAAGCACAGTCCCTCCACCCAATGACCTCAGGCCCTGAATGGGTCTTTCCTGGGTCCAACACAGGCTTATACCTTTTGAGTCTCCTGGACAGTGTTTAGATCAATCTCTAAAATGTGGTTCTGAAGCCCACCAACGAGTAGAGTGCTGCTGTCTGTCAGCAGGAGACTGTGCATATCCTCACTCTCATCCAGTCTATGCAAGAGAGAAAAGGTAAACAGTCCAGCTGCCAATCCCTTAGCGTTCACTATCTCTAAGTTTCCCTCTTTACCAGTCTAGAACTGAAAAGTCACTTACAAATAATCAAATATAATGAGACCCCCACGGGCCATATATTTGAGGTTATTCTTGGTGAGAAAAAGGATACCATTTTCTAGGCTCTGGATTTGTCGAATGTCATCACTACCATTGACCTGAAAAGATGAGTAGCGCTCCAAGGCTGGGCCAAAAAATGAAGTGGCATGACCCTGTAGGGGACAAAAACAACAGACATACCCTGAGTGGAAGGATAGGACCATTCTAGATATAGGTCAGGAACTGAGTACTGCTCAGCTCTTCTCCTTCCTTGCCTGTCCTTTCTGGCTAGGAGCAACTGAGGCATAAAGCTAGGAACCAGTTAATCTTAGTGATAGAAACAATGACAATATTGCTTTATGTTAATGTATTGCAAAGTACTTTTGCTTAATGCATTACAAAATACTCTGGTACACTCTACCTCAATTTATCCTGCTGAATAAAATAGGTGTTATTAGAGATGTGTTCAGAAGCCCAAGGACATGTTCTGATCCTCCACTGGCCAGCTGGCTTTCTTATGTTCCAGTCAAATCTTAATCTCTACCAGTCATCTGGGAAGTGGACACTGTGATTCACAGGCTGGAAAACAGAGTATGTGAGACATTCCTCCTCTACCTTCTATGATGTCATTCACTCCTGATTTCACTTCTGACTCGTAATTTGTACTTTCATACAGTCATTCTTTTCCTTATATACTCTCATTCTTTTGACCACTCTTGAAACATGGATGTTCCCAGCCCACTGTCTTCTCACCCTTCTTCCTAGGCAGTCTCATCTGTTTTCAAGGTTTCAACTATGTATCCTAATGCTAAACAAGTTTTATTTCCTTCTCTAGACCAGATCACTGCCTCCAACTTCAGACTTATGCACCCAAATACTTTTTAAATATCACTCCTTAGCTATCCCATGAGAACCTCAAACTCATTACATTCTAAATTCACTGTTTGTATACCATTTCAATTATTATTATATTCTGTATGGTACAGTGATCCACCTAGTCGACTAAGTCATTTGGTAGTCTACTCCTGTTTAATTTCTAAATGTTTCCCAAGTTTTTCTTGCATATCCATGACTTCATTGCTTCTTCAGGGTTTAATCATATTTTGTGTGAGCTACAATAGCCTACAAACTGATCTCACTTAAGTCTTGCCCCATCCTCCTTCAATCAGACTCTATAATGCTACCTTAGCAGTCCATCTAGGACATAAACTAGACCTTGCCATTCCAGATTTAAAAATCCTTCAGTGGCCTGAAGGATCAAGTCCAAGCTCTTTTAACAAAGTATGTGAAGTTCTCTAGAATATTCTTTCCCCAATTATTTGCATGGCTCTTCCTTCCCTTCTAGAGGGTCTAGATCATTCTGGCCTATATCCTTTTCTCCATTCATGTGCTTTTTAGGGGTTGGGGGTATAACTCAGTGGTGGCGTACATACTTAGTAAATCTGAGGCCCTGGGTTCAATCCTTAGCAACAAAAAAGAAAAAAAAAAAATAAGTGGCTTTATCAGAGAGAACTCTTCTGACCATTAAAATAGTAACATTTCTCACCTTTCATTACTTCAACCTTTTTCTTCCACTGTATTTTTCTAAAGAGTACTGATGCACCTGATGTACATTTTTTGTTTACTGTTTATTCCAAAACTAAACCTTAAAGCAAGGTATGGTACCTGGTAGGTGACTCAAAAAACACTAGTTGAGAGGGTTGGGGATATAGCTCAGTGGTAGAGTACTTACCTAGCGTGTGCAAGACCCTGGGTTCCATCTCCAGCACTGGGAGAACAAAAACTTGGTTAAGAGCCTAATACTAATACTCCCACGCCTTGGACATTTAATATAAATAAAATGTGTGTATGTGTATGTGTATGTCTTTGTGATGCTGGGAATCAAACCCAAGGCCTTGTACATGCTAGAGAGGTACTCTTACTCTGCCACTGAACTATACCCCCAGCCTCTAGGCATGTAATAAATTTTGTGTTCTTTGTCCTGTTAAAATACAAAACAAAATGCTGATTAAATGAATAAATGTATACATCTCTAGCTCCAGCTTCTAGTCTAATGAATCTTAATTGCTTGTGGTTCTTACACTCTACTTACCATGCTATATACTATCTTGGGAATTTTTGTTTTTCCTATATTAGTACATCCTTTTTTCCTCAAACTTGCAATCCTCCAGCTTCTGTCTCCCAATTTTCTGGGATTATAGACATGCACCAGTGCACCTGGTACCATATTATTTATTATAAAACTTTTGGTTTCATAGCATATAAACAATATGGATTCAGATTTTCAAAAACTTGGGGGCTGGGGATATAGCTCTGTTGGTAGAGTGCTTGCCTTGCATGTACAAGGCCCTGGGTTCCATCCCCGGCACCACCAAAAAAAAAAAACTTAATGCAGATAACTGCTCTCAGACACAAGTTGGCTACAGCCAACAAAACGATTTTGTATAAGATATGCAAAATATTCATTAAACATTCCATAATTATAAGAAGGGAAAACAGAAGAGGGGCATTAAAGATTGATTTGAATGACTACAGATTAAGTGAAAGGTACAGTTAATCAAAACATGAGATAAGCTGGGCGCAGTTGCACACATCTGTGATCCCAGCTACTTGGGAGGCTGAGGCAGGAGAATTCCAAGTTTAAAACCAGCCTGGTCAACTTAGCAAGACCCTATCTCAAAATAGAAGAAATAAATTAAAAGGGCTGGGGATGTCGATCACAGTGGCACAGAGATTTGGAAGGCTGAGGGAGGATTACAAGTTCAAGGCCAGTCTCGACAATTTAGTGAGACCCTGTCTAAATAAATAAATAAATAAATAGGGCTGGGGATGTGGTTCACAGTAAAGCACCTCTAACTTCAATCTTCAGTGAGGGAGGAGGATTACAGTCTCGACAATTTAGTGAGACCCTGTCTAAATAAATAAATAAATGAATAAATAAATAAAGAGGGCTGGGGATGTGGTTCACAGTAAAGCACCTTTAGCTTCAATCTTCAGTACCCCACCCCAAAAAAATAAAGGTGTGGGGGGGTTGTGTTGGGGACGTAACTCAGTAGTAGAGTAGTCCTAGGTTCAATCCCCAGCGTCAAAAATGAAACAAAACTTGGACAAACTATGGCAAAAGTGTGGGATGCCTTCTGAGAACAAATATCTGTGTAACTCATCCCTAGATCCTAGCCAATTCTATTCTTTCTCCACTAGCCTCCTCTTGGTTTGACTTAGCTAACTCATCACTTCAACTCAGTTCTGGCTCCCTGCAAAGCAGAAGTCTTGGGAAAATACCAATATATCCTTTCATCCCTCATAAAGGGGTACGGTTCTTACCCCATGGCTCCCCACCCACAGCATCTCTTCATGTAAGTCAAAGTGGGAGACAGACACAGGCACACCCACTTCAGCTACGACGCTGTGCAATTCAGAGTAGACACCTTCCATTATGTGCACTGATTCCTGCACGGGAAGAGCCTCCAAGGCCACTCCCTCTGGGTCCAACTCCACATTCTGTAGCAGACTTGGATTCAGGTGGGCATCCAGGACAGGGTCCAAGGCAGAATGCATAGCCGGGGCATACTCTGCCAGTCCAGGGTCCAGACCCTCAAAGTTCATGATGATGACAGCTGATAGACCTGCGTCACACCCTTCCTTGCCACAGTCCCTGTAAATGCCTGAGCCAACCTTCAGCAGAAGAGCACCAGTGGGCCTAGAATGGACATCATGGCCTGCAAGGGGAAAGAGGTAGTTGAGTCATGAGTAAGCCCAGATACTAGTATTTAGTGTCCTCTAGATTATATGGGCAGAAGAGTGATGAGGCAGGCAGAAGGGATGAGACTGTCAGGCAGAGGATGAAACAGGCAGGAGAGGGATGGGCAGTAGGGTGAAGGTGGAAGAACCCACTATCTAACTGATCTTCGACTTCCCTTTCTCCTCCCTTCAGATCTGCTCACTTCCTGGTTCAACCCTGAACCACCACGTAAAGGGAACAAGTACTGCGAAGAGGTTGGAGTTAGAAAGCAAGGTCTATGATGCTTGTTTCCTGGAAAAAGGTAGGCAGCGAGGAAGCCAAAACCAGTCAGTTTTCCACAATCCTCTGTAATAACTACCCAGAATTCTCTAGGGTGGCCAGTTATCCACAAATGGGGCGGGGGTATGGGGAAAATGATGGAAACGAATAGTTACCCAGAATTCTCTGGGGGAACCAGAGAAATTGGTTACCCAGAATTCTCCCCCAACGGCGGTGTGGGGAGGAATTAGGGCAAGGGTCAGATGTGTTCCTGGGATGCTTACGGGGAATGGGTCATTACCAAGATTTCTCCATGGCGTATATTTTGGAGCGCGTGGAATTAAAACGAGTAGGGGGAGAGCAAACGCCGTCAGCTCCGAGGGAAATTCCAGTTTCCCCAGTTCTTCCCCGCGCCTCTAGCTCAATCTAACACGGCGGCGGGAGGAAGGTCGAACTGCCAGTCACCGCTTCCAATCAGGAAGGGCTCGGGTCGCGTCCAAGCCAATCATAAAGAGCTAGGTAGAGACGACAGCGGGAAAAGACGTGTGACGCAAGAGCTGGGCGGGAAACAAAAAAGGTTACGGGGCACCGATGGGGACAAAACGGATTTAGACGCGGACCTGTTTGGTGATGTTAAAAAGTAATCTTTTCACTTTCAATTCTTCTTGAATAACATTAGCCCTTAACTTGGAAACCGAACTTTTAGGCTCTCTGTAACTTCAAAGAGAAACTGGACTAAAAGGCGCCCAAGGCAAAGCGCTGGGAATCGCATGCTGGGTATTCCCAGCATAGCCTAGTCACTCCCTCTGCCTGCGGTGTTCCTATGAGCCACTACACCACCTCTGACCCTATGCCCCCGAAACTTGCTGGCATTTCCTATGATTTCTAGATATGGGAGATAGAAAAAGGAAGCGGGAGCCCGACTCCTGACTCGCCCCAAGTGGCCACATTTTCTAAGATTCTAAAAGCATCCATCTGAAATTCCCGTCTGTGGTTGTCTCCCACCTCACCCAACCCCGGGCCTCCGGTAATATTCTCGGGGAACAAGAGTCGCCCCCGCATACACATGTTCCCCGCTATCAAATTTCCCTAATTCATTTGGATGTTATCCCGCAAGGAGATGAGCACAGCAATTGAGACGTTGGCCTTCCCAAAATATGGATTTACATCAGACGGTTATTCTGAGGGATTATTGGGACCCAACTGAAAGCTTGAATTATTTTGGAATGGGTCCAGGTTGTGAGGTGTCTCATAGCACATTAGCTCAGCTGTCATTAGTGGGTATTTGTGTGTGTGAGTGTGTGTGTGTTTAATTTATTAATATCTCTTGAGGCTACAAATATGATTCCTGATATAGCAACCTGGAGGTTATCCTTTGAATCCCCCTTTTTAAAAGTCCACTCTTCGCCCTGGCAGTTAAAAATCACAACCTCTGGGAGAGGAGTTCCCTGTGTGGTGTGTGTGTGTGTGTGTCTCTCTCTCTCTCTCTCTCTTTTTTTTTTTTTTTACTATTTTTTAGTTGTTGATAGACCTTTATTTACTTATTTATATATGTGGTGCTGAGAATTGAACCCAGTGCCTCACACGTGCTAGGCAAGCGCTCTACCTCTGAGCTACAACTCCAGTCCCCTGTGTGGTCTCTTTGGCTAGCAAAGCAATAATTTTCCTCCCTTTTCTCAAAACCTTGTCTTGTTATCAGATAGTCATCAAGGACAAGGACCCAGCTTCCAGTATCACTAAAACAAGGTTGTCCCTGTACCTCCCTGTCTCCAGTCTTGCCTCCTGTTATCCACCTGGTCACTGTGGAAGTGATATGCCTAATACATACTATTCCCCTTCCTGTCCAATATCCTTGAGTTACTTCCCACTGTCCTCAGGATAAAGGGCCTCCCTTCAGCACCTGTTCCTTCTCCAGATCACTGTCCTTCCTCCTTGCACTCTGCTGCTCTCACTGAAATTTCCATTCTTCTATTTTGTTGTTGTTGTTGTTTTGTTTTATATTGAACTTTCTATTCTTCTAAACCCTGTGTCTGGTTGCTCCTTCTACCTGGAGCACTCTCCCTATCTCCTTCATGTTTGGCCAGGTCTTATCTACACTTCACTGTCAGCTCAGAAGTCCAAAGTCTCAGCTAACACATCTTCCTCTAGAGCCTTATTCTGACCCCACTACCTCCATTGTCTCTGTTCTTGCTACTTTCTTCACCACATCACTTACCAGTAACCCCCAAAGTAGGCTCTATTAGAACAAAGTTTATCTCTCACTGTGCAGTGCACACTCACAGTGAGAGTTAGCACCTATTAGAATTAGAGAAGTGACTTTTTTGAAGCCTCAAAGCCCAAAAGCGATAAAGCCATGACTGAACTCTGGACCTCTCCCTCAACCATCCCAACTTGGAGAGAGTTTGCAGCTCATCTGGGTTCTACTCTAACACACCAATTATTTAGTTCCTATCATCAAGGGTCACAATTTTTATTTTATTTTTTTGTAAATATTTATTTTTTAGTGATAGGTGGACACAATATCTTTATTTTATTTTCATGTGGTGCTGAGGAACAAACCCAGTACCCCTCGCATGCTAGATGAGCACTTTACCTCTGAGCCACAACCCCAGCCCCCAGTTTTTATGTTTGAATAAGAGACATCTTTCATTCAAAGGAAGGAAGTGGTAAAGCATATACAAGGTCTTGGGTTCAATCCCCAGCACTTCCATTTCATGGAAGAACATGAGACCCTCAGGCCTTCCTGACCCTAAGGGAAATCAGGCTTTGCCTTCTTCTCAAGGGAGCACATGAGTCAGCTTGATCTTTTCCCTAGGTCCCCACCCCATCCACCCCAGCTCAATACCCTCACCACAACCAGCCTCCTGGGAAAATACAGGATACCCCAGCAAATCCCAGTCCCAACATGGTCACACATCACACACTCGAATGTCAGCCACCCCAGCACCAGCTGTCATTAGTGTTTCTATAGACCACATAGAGGGACTCCAGTGTAAGAAATTCCTCACAGAGGATATAAGCTATTTTGCCTGTTAGAGAAGGGCAGTGCTGGGGATTGAACCTAAGACCCTGTATATGCTTTACCACTGAGCACCCCCCCACACCTCCACTCCCAGACCTGAAGGGTACAGTTTTAAAACAATTCTCTGGGCTAGGGATATAGTTTAGTGGTAGAGCATTTGCTTGACATACTAAAGGCTCTGGGTTCAAACAGCAAAAGTGTGTGGGGATCTATCTAACTTATCTGACTTCACAGGTCCTTATATTTATTTGTTTATTGGTACTGGGGATTGAATTCAGGTGCACTCTACCACTAACTATTCCCCAGTTGTCGTCGTTGTCTTCTTCTTCTCTTTTTGATTTTCAAGGCAGGGTTTCACTAAATTGCTGAGGCTAACCTTGAATCTGCAATTCTCCTGCCTCAGCCTCCCCAGTCACTGGGATTACAGGTGTGCATCATGTCCCCCAACAACAGATTTTTAGATTTAAAATCTCACAAGAAGGTAGGTGCATGGGCTGGGGATGTGGCTCAAATGGTAGCGCGCTCACCTGGCAAGCGTGCGGCCTGGGTTCGATCCTCAGCACCACATACAAACAAAGATGTTGTGATCGCCGAAAACTAGAAAATGAATATTAAAGAATTTTCTCTCTCTCTCTCTCTCAAATAAATAAATAAACAAACTCTTAAAAAAAAAGAAGGTAGGTGCTGAGAGATCTAGACAGATACTTTGAAAAATCTCCATATTGAAGTCTCAAATTGAGAAAGACTTCAAGACCCATAAAAATTTCAGAACCTGAAATAAGGTACTTCACAAGTCAAGATGCATTTATTTTTTTAAAAGACTAATTTTTTAAAATAATTTTTATTTTTTAGTTATAGATGGACATAATATCTTTATTTTGTTTATTTATTTTTATGTGGTGCTGAGGATTGAATCCAATGCCTCACATGTTCGAGGCAAGTGCTCTACCCCTGAGCCACAACACCTGCTCGAGATGCATTTCTTTTTTGTTTTTGTTGTTGTTGCTGGTTAAGTGGGAATGGTCAAGTTTTACATATGTCCTCACAGTATCCAATATAGTGGAGTGATTAAGAATGCAGGATTGGGCTGGGGCTGTAGCTCAGTGGCAGAGTGCTTGCCTAGGATGCTTGAGGAGGCATTCGGTTCGATCTGCAGCACCACATAAAAATAAACAAAATAAAGGTATTCTGTCCATCTACAATGACAAAAAAATTTAAAAAAAAAAAAAGAATGCAGGATTGTTATTGTTGAGTGTGGTAGTACATGCCTGTAATCCCAGTTACTTGGGAGGCTGAAGGAGGAGGATTGCAATTTGGGAGCCAGCCGTGGCAACTTAGTGAGATCCTGTCTCAAAATAGAGGTAAAAATTTTAAAAAGGGTTGTAGATGTAGTAAAGCACTCCTGGGTTCAACCCCTGATATCCAAACCAAAAGAATGCAGGATCTACCTGGCACTGTGGTGCACACCTGTGATTCCAGGGGTTCATGAAGCTGAGGCAGGAAGATTATAAGTTTGAGATCAGCCTCAGTAACTTTGATCCTATCTCAAAATAAAAAATAAAAGAACTGGGGATGTGGTTCAGGGGTAGAGCACCCCTGGTTCATCTCTAGTACCTCAAAAAGAAAAGAAAAAGAAAAAAAATGTATAGGATCTGAAGCCACATTGTCTATACTACAGTATTACCCACTTTGCAGCTTTGTGATCTCTGGCAAATTACTTATCACTGCACCTTAGTCTCCTCATTTGTTATAGGGGAATAATAATAATACCTACTTTATAGGGTTGTTGTAAGCATTATATGGTTTAATATAAAGTGCTTAGACCAAGTACTTGGCATTAAGTGAGAGTAGCAATGTATATTAGCTGCTGTTGCTAGCCATTGTTACTAACTCCCTGGGGGAACTTCATTTGGATTTGGAGTCAGAGCATCCAACTGGAAAGGCCTGTCTAGGAGTGTCTTGTGAATATTTGCATAACGGTTGAGTCCCTACTGACGTCAGGGACTTCTTGGAGCTCCAGGTCAGATGTAGTCTTGGAAGTAGTTCCTGCTGCACAACAGTCCCACAATCGCCCCACTAACCCTGCTTCCTACCCAACTGCTGCAGCACCAGGAAGTGAAACAAAGAGGCAGAGCCTTGTACCGCCAACTGAGCCTTATCCCTTTCATTACTTGCCTTTTTGGGGGGGTGAGGGGGGGAGCTGGGGGGAGAGTTAGTGCTAGGTATCTAATCCAGGGCCTTGAACATACTTTACCACTGAATTATACCCCTAGCCCCAAAGGGTGTAGTTTTAAAGCATTTATCTGAGTTGGAAATGTAGCTTTATGGGCTCTGGATACAGCGCATCTATCTTTTTTTTTTTTTTTTTTTTTTTTAGTACCAGGGATTGAACCCAGAGGTGCTAACCGCATTCCCACCCCTTTTCTATATTTTATTT